TTTGTATTTTTAGTAGAGACAGGGTTTCACCGTGTTAGCCAGGATGGTCTCGATCTCCTGACCTCGTGATCCGCCCGCCTCGGCCTCCCGAAGTGCTGGGATTACAGGCGTGAGCCACCGCGCCCGGCACCAGCAACCCTTTTTCACGGAGCCCTGTCTTCTATCAATATCCCTGTTCAAGTTGAAATAGATTTTGTTTTCAGTCCCAAAGAGGATTTATTGTCACTGTGGTGATCTATTTCAATACAGCTCAGTGCTCTGGAGCTAATTTAGGGAGGAAAACATGAAGTGATTTTTGAAAACAAGACTTTGACCAAAGTGGGCTTTGCTTTCTGGAAAAAGCAGGTCTTGGGTGGGGAGCCCAGTGAGAAGGAAGATGTACACAGCAAAGGGGCAGTTTAGACGCACCTGGCATGCGTCCTCCACCCGGGGCCCCCCACTTGTGCCCACCTCCAGCCCAGCTGCTTGTGCAGGGCACTGGGTCATCCCTGCTGGAGCCCGGCATGGCTTCCTGCCTGTGTCTGCTCGTTGCCTGACCTTTCTCTTCCCAAAAAGGGCATGTGACGAACTGAACTGCACCTTCCCCCAGGTCAATGTGGTAAAGCCCCGGCCCCAGTGAGCTATTTGGAGACAGGGCCTTTACGGAGGTAATGAAGGTTTTATCCAGTCAGGGTGAGGCCTTGGTCCCACGGGACTGGTGTCTTCATAAGAGGAGGAAGAGCATGCGTGCGTGAAGAGAACAGGCCACATGAGGACCCAGCAAGAAGGAGGCCGTCTGCACGCCAGGGACCGAGGCCTCCTGGCAGCACCTTGATCCCGGACTTCCAGCTCCAGAACTGAGGACTTGACTTCTGCTGCTGACGCCACTCCAGTCTCTGGTACTTTGTTATGGCAGCCTCAGCGAACTAGGACAGGGCATGCTGCCCAAAAATCCATTTTTACTTGTTACGCCGTGTGTGAGACCTGGAAATGCTGCAAGGGAGGCGAGTTTTTGTAAATCGAAGCTCGCGATCACTGCATTGATGAGATGGCGCTGAAGGCGGCGGAGGGTTCTCTGGCATCGCAGGAAATCCATCTGGAAAACTGGAAACTCCCCCCCACACAGCCACAGATGGGAGCTTGGAATGTCACCTGGGAAACGTCCTTAAAGCACGTGAACCACACACTCGTTTTCCTTCGGGGGACAGTACAGATGTAGGTTGGATAATGTGCAGGGCACGGCACCGACTTTTGGAGACGGGGCCCCCTTCAGAATGGCAGGAGTCTGGGGCCCCACGTGAGGACAGGAGGGCTGGCTCCCAGGCCACTGGTCAGCAGCCACCCGGATCACCCAGCCAGGGGCCTCACTGCCCAGAGCTGCTGGCCCCCTACCCTCCTGGACGCCGCCCTTACGACCATAGGAGCTGCAACCTGGAGACTCCTCACTCTCCACCTGACCAGCCCAGATGTTGCTCAAGGCAGTCCTGAAAGGCAGGTGTGTCTGCTGTGAAATCAGAGTCAAGAGGGGATGCTGACGGGCAGACAGAGCCACCTGGTGCCACTTACGTGGCCTTTGTGGAGGCTGTGGGGCAGGAGGGCTGGGGGCATCTGTGGCTGCATGTGCAGTCAGTCCTCAGTCCCAGGCGGGTTCGAGTGAGCCAGCAGCTCCCACATGCTGCGGTGGGTCCTGGTCTGAGTGGGCTGCATGGTCGTGAGTGGGGGACTCATGAGATGACGGGGAGGCTCCTGCAGCCGTCCAGCTCTGCACTTGATAGAGGCAGGCCTTGCTCACAGACCACAGCCCTGGGCCCTCAGATGGGAGGACACAACAGCCTGAAGTCATGTCCTCCGTCTGGTTTGTGATGAGCAGGACACTGGGTCGAGCCACTCGGAGAAAGGCAGGGTGGCCCCTGCTGGAAGGAAGAGAGGCGATCACTCAGGAGCCCTGACGTTCTCCGAGTGCCAGCTGCCTCGTGGGCGGCCAGACGCAGTTTCGCGGGGCCGAGTGGGCTGTTTTCATGTGTGTTCCTTTAGTTGTCCCTCTTTGCCGCTCACACTCCAAAATTCCTGGCATCCCCAGATCTGCCAGAGGCCAAGGCTCCTGTCTTGGGCATCTCTGCATTCTCACACGCAGGCAGCTGGATACTTCCTGGAAGGACTGGAACCCTCATCGGTCTCCTGGGGTGCCCTTGAGATCTGCTGGGCAGAAGCCACGGGCCGTGGGAGATGCCACACAGAGGCTGAGTCCAGCCGCCGGGAGCCGTCTACCTTGCCCACCTGCCAGCCCCAAGAGTGGCTGTTTGAGTCCACTCTGCAGTCAGAGGACAGAGAGGTGGCCTTTCTAGATCCCTCAGCTTCATGGGGCAAGCCCCACCTCCCCAGTCACAATGGCCCACACTCAAAGGGTTCCCTGGTAGAAGTGACGGAAAAGACAGCAAGTGTCGGTTTCCATGCAGGCACTTTGCCATCAGTGGCCCCTGGCTTGGCTCTTCCTCCCAGCAGGCTGAGGTCAAAATGACTTTGGGGAGGGTGATTTTTCTGCATGATGCTGAGGCGCGGCGCTTACCCACAGGCTGGGAGCACGAGACAGTGTGCTCTAACCGTCTGCCGTGTCTGCTTGCTGTGGACTTGCTCTGCCCAATCTCAGAGGCTGTGCAGGGACCCTGGGAGCCACTGCAGGCCAGCAGCTCCAACACGTCTCTTCCGAGCTTCCCCTCTTACTCCTTGTGTCTCTCACACCTGGAGCCCTTGCTTTTTGTGCGTTGACCTAGACAGTTATGCTGCACATTTAAAGCCTCTTCTGTCGTCTCCATGCCCTGGTCCTGCAGTCTCAGGGCTGGGAAGCAAGTTGCCACATGGTGGCTGGAGGTTTTGAGCAGGTTTGCAGCAGTGCAGCCCCTGGGACTGGCTGCCTGCTGCTCTTCTCGGGTGAACTGGGGTGGGGAGTGGAGGCTGGAGCTTTGCTTTTCTGACTGGTGCTGCAGTTTTTCTCCTGCTGGGAGACCACAGGCGTAAAAGAGGTTCACTTAGGAGAGGGCAGTGCCCCAGGTGTCAGCAACCCGGCCTCAGGGATGCCAAGAGGCAAGATCCCACTTTCTGCCCTTTGCGAAGAGATCGCTGCGGCCGAGGGTGTCAAAGAGCGCAGGTGAGCTTGCTGAGGAGCCTGTGCATTCTCTGTGTTGCTGACAAGCAGGAAAATGTCCTTAGATTTTGGTGGGTTGAAAACAGCTGGGTCCAAGGTCTGCAATGAGGGAACTTTTTCATTTTTTGGGGTGTGAAAAGATGGGGTCTATTAGCCAATGAGATGAAACCAAATATTCCCCATTCTTGTACTTTTCAGCAAATAGGAATTTTAACACTTTTTTTTTTTTTTTTTTGTAGCGACGAGGTCTTGCGACGTGGCCCAGTGTATTAGTCTGTTCTCACGCTGCCAATAAAGACATACCTGAGACTGGGAAACTTATAAAGAAAAGGAGTCTTAAGGGGCTCACAGTTCCCCATGGCCGGGGAGGCCTCACGATTACGGCGAATGGCAAAGAAGGAGAAAGTCACTTACATGGGGGCAGGCGAGACAGCGTGTGCAGGGGAACCCCCATTTATAAAACCATCGGATCTCGTGAGACTTACTATCACGAGAACAGCACGGGGGAAACCGCCCCCACGATTCAAGACCTCCACCGGGCCCTGCCCTTGACACGTGGGGACTATGACAATTCAGGTGACATTTGGGTGGGGACACAGCCAATTCCAGGCTGGTCTGGAATTCCTGGCCTCAAGCCTTGCTACAGAAGGTGACACAGTTCCCGGAATCCCACATGTCCACGTATCCGGGACAGCCGGCTGCCTGTGCCTTGCCTTTGCAGACACTGCTCTCAGAGCAGAGCACTCTGACCGCTGCCGCTTCCTTCAGGAGAGATCTGCTCCTGGCATGGGCGTTCTGCAGCACTGGGCTGCCACCCGCGCGCATGAGGGTCTGCAGGGTGAGCAGATGACCCCAGGAGCCCGGCGCCGTCGGGAGCCCTGGGTGGAGGGTCCCTGCCCCGACAGCTGTCTCCCTACGCACAGAATCCCCTTGCTGTGAGGTCTCCTGGGCCCTGCTATCAAGTATTAGTTTCAACTAAAACCCAGCAAAACAAGGGTTTTGTGTTTTTTTTTTTTTTTTTTTTTTTTTTTTTTTTTTTTTTTCCCAGTCTTTAAAAAGAGGAGAAAACATGAAAAAGGAAGAACGACGGGGGTGGTCCCACTGGGGTCCACAATCCTGAGCTGCCTCCCCACAGGACGTGGTGCCCGCAAGCCCCGCACTTACCTCGTTGGGCTCCCAAAGCCAGACATCAAAGGTCGGCTTCCGCAGGGCCTCGACGGTCTCTGGAGAGAGCAGGTACTAGAAAGGACAGGAGTTCCGTGTTAACCAGGTGCTGGGGGACTGTGACGGCGATGTGCATGCTGCGATGTTTCTTCTCATTCTCCCGTTCTCTTTCTTTCTTTCTTTTTTTTTGAGATGGAGTCTCGCTGTGTTGCCCAGGCTGGAGTGCAGTGGAGTAATCTTGGCTCACGGCAACCTCTGCCTCCCAGGTTCAAGTGATTCTCATGCCTCAGCCTCCCAAGCAGCTGGGATTACAGGCACCTGCCACCATGCCCAGCTAATTTTTGTAATTTTAGTAGAGACAGGGTTTTCACGATACTGGTCAGGCTGGTCTCGAACTCCTGACCTCAGGTGATCCACCAGCCTCGGCCTCCCAAAGTGTTGGGATTACAGGCGTGAGCCATCGCACCTGGCTTCTCCCGTTCTCTTTCTAAGGCACCTGCGTCAGACTCACAGGCCACATCCTTCTGGAAAGGGCCAACACTATGGCTGGAAATCCCATCAGTGGATGCCAGAGGCAGGGTGAGGGGGGCGGGGGGAGGTTTTGGGGTGACAGAAATGTTCCATATCTCGCTTGTGGTGGAGGTCCCAGGACTAAACAAGTTTGTCAAAATTCACTGTACTCCAAACCTAAAGAACTTTACTGCATGTAAATCAGACCTCAACAAGCCTGACGATAGAACAGACAATAGCTGGGCATGGTGGCTCATGCTTGTAATTCCAGTGCTTTGGGAAGCCTAGGTGGGCCAATCACCTGAGGTCGGGAGTTCAAGACCAACCTGGCCAACATGGTGGAATCCTGTCTCTACAAAAATACAAAAATTAGCCAGGCATGATGGCGGGTGCCTGTAATCCCAGCTACTTTGGAGGCTGCGGTGGGAGAATTGCTTGAACCCGGGAGGCGGAGGTTGCAGTGAGTCGAGATGGTGCCACTGCACTCCAGCCTGGGCAACAGAGTGAGACTCCGTCTCAAAAATAATTAAAAAGGGCAATAAAGTGAAGTGTGGGGGTAAAATTCACTTGGCATAAATTCAAACACCAGCTAAGAAGTTCCTCTGAGATGCTCCCATCGGGAACCCATCCCTGGTTTCTGCTGAGAGCTAGAAGAGCAGGCCTGCTGACGGGGCGGTGCCCGGGGTTGCTTCTGAGGACCTCAGGCTTTAGGTTAAGCTGTCGCAAGGACAGAAGGCTGTGGTTTTATACAGAAGACAAGAACACGCTTTGGTATTACACACTGTCTTCTCCCAGCTCTTACTGGATATTTGCTTTTTGTTTTTTATAAGGGGACGGATCTGGAGTGCTGCCACCTTTTACTTTGGATCTAGGCTGTGCTTCATGGCTCCCTGGGACAGGATCCTGAGAAGCGTGGGGCATATTTTCCAATGGAAAAAGGCACTCGTCTCCATTCAAAAACCTCAGATAAGGCTGGGCACAGTGGCTCACGCCTGTAATCCCAGCACTTTGGGAGGCTGAGGTGGGTGGATCACCTGAGGTCAGGAGTTCAAGACCAACCTGGCCAACGTGGTGAAACCCTGTCTCTACTAAAAGTACAATAATTAGCCGGGCATGGTGGTGGGTGCCTGTAATCCCAGCTACTCAGGAGGCTGAGGCAGGAGAATCGCTTGAACCCGAGAGGCAGAGGTTGCGGTGAGCTGAGATCGTGCCATTGCACTCCAGCCTGGGTGACAGAGTGAGACTCAGTCTCAAAAAAACAAAACCAAAAACCCAAAAAATCTCCCCGAACCTGACAATATCCAGGGCACTGTTTGGACCTGCATGGATAGAATCACTGACTAATGGACTCCAGTGGCCCACATGGAGGCTGTGGAAGCCTCTGCCATTGCTTGAACCGTAGGCAGCAGCAGAACCCACCTGTGTGCAGTGCAGGCCTCTGCTGTCTGTGGAACCTGTGCCCCCTGAATCTTAGCACAAGAGCACATTACAAATCAGGTGGGCCGGGCCGGGTGCAGTGGCTCAGCACTTTGGGAGGCCGAGGTGGGTGGATCACCTCAGGTCACGAGTTCAAGCCCAGCCTGGCCAACATGGTGAAACCCTGTCTCTACTAAAAAAAATACAAAAAAATTAACTGGGTGTGGTGACGGGCGCCCATAATCCCAGCTACTCGGGAGGCTGAGGCAGGAGAACTGCTTGAACTCAGGAGGCTGATTTTGCAGTGAGCTGAGATTGTGCCACTGCACTCCAGCCTGGGCGACAACAGTGAAACTCCTTCTCAAAATAAATAAATAAATAAAAAATAAACAAAAAATGAGGTGGGCCGGGATTTTGCCTGCTTCCCAGCTGAAGGCTTTGAGCGGTTGACCAGCGTCTTGAGAGCCTCCTTTTGTCATTATTTCAAAAACGCCATTGCTACTTCACCAAGGTTACAGCTTCTCTTAGAACTAAGAACACTTTTGTGCAAAAGAGCAAAACTGCCAGGACAACTAAGAATTGCTCAGAGAGGAGGGCCAATGTGGATTTTTTAAAATGTAGTTAAACATTAAAGTTCTTTAAAGTAACGTTTGACTGTGAAAACCATTTACCGAGGTCAGCTCCAGGGCAGACGGCAGCACAGAGCTATTATCTCCTTGCAGGGGAAGGTATGGTCTGGGATCACTTTTGCTAAACAAATGTCAAAGAGGAAAAATACTTTGCCTTAGAGTAACCCGCAGCGTCCAGGGCTGGGAGCGGCTGTTGATGAGAATGAGCACACAGCAGGGTCTGGCCGCAGGGCCACAGGGCTGGGCGTGGGGCTGGGGACACAGCCACAGCCTCCTCTGGGCAGGAATCTCGTCTTACCTTGGGGTAAGTGGGAACATCGCGTCGAGGAGTCAACTTCTTGTGGTTATCCAAAAAACTGTACTTACAGGGGCAGCTGGTCCTAGAGAGAAGGAGCAGAGATGAGCTGTGGTCCTGCTGTTTCAGTCTGGTGAAGCCCTCGGCAGAGCAAAAGCAAGGGACAGACCGAAATCCCCAAGCCCCGTGTGGTCTTATTTGCTATGGGAGAGGAGTCAGGGCGGCAGCAACTCATTCGAAGCAAAATCCCCAAGGACCTGCCTGACCTCTGACCTCACATTGGGCTCTTGGAAAACACATAGAAAGTCAGATGTTGGGCCGGGCGCAGTGGCTCACGCCTGTAATCCCAGCACTTTGGGAGACCGAGGCAGGAGGATCACGAGGTCAAGAGATCGAGACCATCCTGGCCAACATGGTGAAACCCCGTCTCTATATTAAAAAAAACACACAAAAATTAGCTGGGCGTGGTGGTGGGCACCTGTAATCCCGCTACTTGGGAGGCTGAGGCAGGAGAATCGCCTGAACCCAGGAGGTGGAGGTTGCAGTGAGCGGAGATTGCGCCAGTGCACGCCAGCCTGGCCAGTTTGGGCAACAAGAGCAAAACTCCGCCTCAAAAAAAAAAAAAAAAAAAAAAGTCAGATGTTGAGGGCTATCTTCTGTCTTAGATAAGCTTCTAAAAAACCTTTTTCTAATGTTTTCAAAATGAAAACATTCTTATTCTCAAAAATCTAAACAACACAGGAGTAAAGTAAAAAAAAAAAAAAAACCAAAGTCCTCACTTTACCCACTTATTTCCCTAAATCCCATACTCTGGAAATCACTTCTAATAGTTTGGTGTATCTTTCCAGAATGTTTTGAAGTGTGGACACACATGGGTGGCCGCTTATACCTTTTAACAATATTTTAATTTTTATTTTTTGTAGAGATGGGGTCTTGCTATGTTACCCAGGCTGGTCTCGAACTCCTGGGTTCAAACGATCCTTCTGCCTCAGCCCCCCAAAGTGTTGGGATGACAGGCGTGAGTCACCTTTTTTTTTTTTTTTTTTGAGACAGAGTCTCACTCTGTCGCCCAGGCTGGAGTGCAGTGGTGCAATCTTGGCTCACTGCAACCTCTGCCTCCCGAGTTCAAGCGATTCTCGTGCCTTAGCCTCCTGAGTAGCTGGGATTACAGGTGCATGGTGCCACACCCAACTAATTTTTGTCTTTTTAGTAGAGATGGGGTTTCACCATGTTGGCCAGGCTGGTCTTGAACTCCTGACTTCAAGTGATCCTCCTGCCTTGGCCTCCCAAAGTGTTGGGATGACAGGCGTGAGTCACTGCGCCCAGCCCCTTTGTACTTTTAAACAAAGATGGAATTGCACCAAATGCACTCTGCTGCAACCTGCTTTGTCATCGAACATATGAACTCATCCCAAGTTGCTCCACACAGCTTCGCTTCATTTTCCAAGTTTCTCCAGGGTGTGGCCGTAGCACACGTTAGCAATCCAATCCCCAGTGATGGACTTTTAGAATGTTTCCAACTCTCCCTGCTGCATGTAACGTTAGCAGATGAGTTTTCTGTCTGACTCTGGTTTTGTTTAGCACTGGGTATCGAGGTATCCCGCATAGGAGCAGGGCAAAGGGAGCCAGGCGTGTTTCGGAGGAAAGCCGCCTCCTGGTTGGGCAGTGTGCTGGCTTCAGGGTGGTCCCCAGAGGCTGAATGAGGAGCAGCTGCCCCGGGAGGTCTGGCCGCTCTTGGGCCTCTGCAGCAGAATGCACCAGGGGGCTGGGCGGATCTGGGGACCCCCTGTGGCTGTGCATTTGCTTGGAAGTGAACAGGCTCCCTGTGTACTTGGGTGATGGTGGGTGGGGGTCACGCCTGGCTTGTGTGACATTCACCAGGCTGGGGGGTACTCAGGGAGCTGAATGCAGCAGAAGCTCCTGCGATTTGTAAATAAAGCCCCATCTTCTGGGAGATCCATTTAGTACTGCATAGTGAGAGCCATATAGAAATCCGTATCCTTTCAGCCCACGTATCTATCCTGGGGAATTTATCTTAAGCCAAGAATTAAACAGGAACAAACAGCTCTATGCACACAGATATTCATTGTGGCGTGATCTGTTGTAACAAAAACACAAGACCTACTAGAAGCCACCTGAATGTCCCAAAATGGGAAGTGGTTTAACCCACCACAGTGCGTCCACGGGATGGACTATTATGCCATTGAGAGGATAATCACGGATATCATGCCAAGTGAGGGAACTTTACATGAGAAGGGAAAATAAGAAAGCTATGCACAGTATGTACTGAAAGCGAATGCCAAAAAATGCCAAGCTACGGGGAAGAAAGAGCACATTCGGGAGGTTTAAAAAGAGTGCTTGATTGTGACCTTCCAGGAAAATCTATGAGCTGTACACCGGTTAAAATTTAATCTAGTTATTGCTCACAATGTCACTAGTAAAAAAAAAAAAGACTACAAAACAGCATGTTTTTGTTGTTTTTCAAAACAAGGTATCTATACACAGAAAAAACATCTGGAAGGCCTCGTGTCCAGGTTTAAACTGGGGGGACACTGCCGGCTGCTGTCATGATCGGTGCCCACCCTTCAACTCCCATCAGTATAGTTTGGAGGTTTTCCAATGAGCCTGTGCTATTTTCAAAACTAGAATACTCAATCTATTTCCTTTCTGGAAAAAGGGCCTTCAGTGTTATTTTCTCGGCATGCTGCCGTCTCTTCCCCGTGATAACCACCGCTCCAACAGAGATCCACTTGGTAGCCCTTCCCTCTGCTTCATGCTTGCAAAACCCGTCAGAGTTGCTGCCACAGTTTGATGTGAAAGGGGGAATGCTAACAGATTCAGCAAAGTATTAGCAAAACCAACCAACAAAATGCACCAATCAAATGATTTCCATTGTCATCCAGTAACCAAGAGATTCCATTTACACATTTCTGAGCAGTCACGAACGTTTTCTGTGCAGTTAAAAAAATTGATGGCACGATGATGATTTCTTTGCTGCTTTTAACCTCTTTTGTGTAAACACTCGCACATGTGTTGTCTCTGTAAGTCTCCTGCATTCCCCAGGAGGGTTATGGAAATTTTCACCAAGCAAGACCGTTTGACTGCTGGAATCCTGCTGTTTTCTTGCAGATCCCAGAGCTGGGAGCACAGGAGGGTCTGCTGGGGCCCGCTGACCCTGCCTGGCCAGGCAGCCCCTCTCTCTGCGCCCCGTTGCCATGGGAACCAGCGTCTTCAGCAAACAGAGCAGCTGGCACGGAGCTCTTTCTTTTCATCCTATTTGGAGCTTATTTTCGCTTTCATTTCGTGGGGTCTCCATCCCCCTTCCCCGGGGCTTAGGCCAGAGGGCAAGGCCATTTTTTTGGGATGAATGCTGAGCCCTCAGTTGCTACCCCAGGCTCCTGCAGGCTCCCCAGCTCTGGGTGAACCCCACATTCCATGCTCTGCTCTCTGCCTGGCACAGTGCTGGGGGCCAGAGTGGCCGTGGCCCTGGGGTAGACCTGCCCCTGCCCTAAATGTGAGCTGGCAGTTGGACCTCTGTCCTCTTTGAGGGAAAAGCAGGAGAAACCTAACTCGGGAAAGTCAGGGGACAGCCGCCTGCTCCCGGCTGCTGTGTGCTGGACCCTGATGCCACTGCTATTCTCAAGGGGCAGCTTCTGGCGGATCCAGACCCCTGGCTCCGCGGTCCCACTGCGGTGTGCTGTGTGGGCTGAATGTAGCTCCACGTTTCAGGCTCACACTGGCCATTTGTGTGGAACGGCGCTGAGCTACCTCCATCCTGTCTGGGGTCTTTATTCTCTTCCCAGAGGCAAGAACGCTGGCCTCCGGCTGGGCTGCCATCTCGGGAAGGCCCCCCCACCCCCACCCCTGCCTTTTGCAGCTCCTCTCCCCAGCCATCCAGGGAAGTCCCAGCTTAACAAGACTGGTCCCAGGGGCCCCACACTGCTGCAGGCTCTCATAAGTAAGATGTACCTCTGCTGTTGACAAAGACGAAAGAAACAACGCACACAGCTCAGTGTCTCTATTCTGAGTTCCTTTCTACATAGAGAAACAGGAAGGGGTTCCGTGTGTGGGGGCTGCCGGCTCTGCGACGAGGGCCTGGGGCACGTGACGCGGCTGGGGATTAGACCAGAACCCAGGAGGCTGAATTTGTGTTTTTCTCAGTGTGTCGACGACGCTTGAGAATTTTTACCCTGTTCCGTTTTGGATGCAAGAATCCCATTTACCTGTCTCTCACCTACAGGGGAGGCTGCCAGAGCTGTCAGCTGAGAACATCGCCTCCAGAAGCTGACGGGGCGCCAGGAAGTCTCCTTCTCTTTGGTTAATGGCGCTGTGGGTTCTAAAAATGTACTCCTGGGGGAAGTGCGGATGCACCTCTGTTACTCAGATGGGCCCAAGTGCTCCCCGCAGCCCGGCGTGCCTGACGGGCACCTGGGGGCTGATGTTTCACTGGAGTTCCTGGCGGCTTCCTCTGTGTGCTCTGAAATCGGTATTATCCTCCCACGTGGGGTGTTACGGGCTGAAGTACATCTCCCTCCAAAAGTCGTATGTTGAAGTCCTAACCCTGCTGCCTGTGAGGGTGACCTCATTTGGGGTCATGGCTGTTGCAGATGTAGTTAAGGTGATGTCATCCTGGAGGGGGGTGACCCCTACTCCAATAGGATGGGTGTCCTTACAAAAAGGGGGAATTTGGAGAGAACAGATGGGAGCACCAGGTGAAGAAGCAGGCAGAGATCCCCAAGCCGAGGAGCCACCGGCAGCCACCGGAGGCCAAGGGAGACCAGGAAGGACCCTCCCCTGGGACCGTCAGAGGTGGCAGGGCCTGCTGCCACCTTGATTTTGGACTTGTGGCCTCCAGAACTATGTGGCAATACATTTCTATTGTTTTAAACTGCCCAGTTTATGATAATTCGTTACGCAGCCCCAGGAAATGACTACGACTTCGATAAAAATAATTCCCCCCCTGCAACCTAACCTGCAGGACCAGTGCACACCAGAAACCACGCCAGGAGCAGCGTGTGATCCGAGCACTCGCCTTGCTTTCTACAGAGCAGGTGCCCGTCAGGCACAGCAGGGGCAAGACCTGTGAGGCTGGAGGCTGCCTCCCTACTCACTCCTGCGGCTGTGGGAGGGCAGCAAATGCAGTTGTTTAAGGGATAAGAGGCTGCATTCTACAAATACCTCCAGAAAGTGCTCAGGGACACACAGTTGTGGGTGAGGAGCTGGGGGAGCTCTGGGAGGCATGGCCTGGCTCCAGACACACCCCTCGGGGCGGTGGAGTTCCCGAACCCATATGGAGCCCAGAGGCCACTGTTTGGGGAGTCTGGTTTTCGGCTGAAGACTAGAACTCAGTTTTCGTCCCTCTTCCCCTCGTGCTGCTGGTGGGGCTGGAGAGGCTGGTCCTGCTACACCCGCAGCCCCTGCTTGAGGCAGCCCATCCCCACCTGGCTCTGGGCAGAGGGGAACCCTGCCAGGCAGCACCAGCCTTCTGCCAAAGCAGCCATGGCACCCGGGGCACAGGGGACAGCCACTGAACTAAGCCACGTAGAGCCCACGGCCAAGGGCGCACAGGTAAAGGTGCTGCATGTTTGAGGCTGCCAAGCCCGGTCCCAGCCTTGGGGCCCCGGCTGTGTGGCCGCCCGTGTGTAACTTGGGAGCTCTTCCTCAGCTCACAAAGGAGGGACTCTGTCTCTCATCCCTTAAAGAGCCTCCTACCACAGGAATGACGAAGATGGATTGTTCACTCACAATTTTCCATGGTCACGGACTATGGCCCTGACTTCCCCGAAGTCAACTGGGCTGAGACATCCCTAACTCCAAATGAGCCCATGAGTGCATGGGACAGACACGTGGCATCCCTGTAGGACAGGCTCTCCTGTGGCTCAGACAAGGCGTGCTTCCTTCCGCTCGGCCTTCCTCCCTGTGCCCACCCCGAGGCCAGGCCCCTGGGGCTTGGAGGGGACCAGGCCAGGCCCGCCAGCTTTCCCCTCACCTTGTGCCTCTGAGACCCTCCCTCACTGCCACACTCCCTCACTAAGCAGACTGCCCTCAGCTTTAGAATCAGGGAATGATCGTCAGCATGCAGGGGGCCCTGGGACAATTCGGTGCAATGGCACAGGGCTGCTTCTCAGTTCATCAGACCCCATGAAATCCCGCTGAGGCCGGGCAGTGGCACTCTGGGGAACCATGAGCCACATCGTATGCCTGTGGTCTCTGGGCTGGCACCAGCGGGCATGGAGGTAAAGCCCGGAGGTGTGAGCGGGTCCTGTGTGCCCCTCACTCAGCACAGCGCCTGCACACAGTAAGCGCTCAATGGGTGCGCTCTGCTCATCGTCACCGCCGTCTCTTTGCTACTATGTGCATTTCCATCCCCAGTTTGGATGTGATTCATCCACACGTGTCCTGACCCTGGCTCCAGTAAAGTCCTGCTGTCCATAAAACTGACTTTGGAGGCAGCATCGTGGAAGCTGGGGCATTTTCCCCACGAGTCACCGCTCACTGGGCCTCCCGCAGTGCCTGTGAAGGACGCCTGTTCCCAGGAGAATGACTTCTGTGTCCCCAGTGCTGGAGCCCTCGCTGGAATGCAACCCAGTGGGAATATCACGCAGGGAACCAGCTCCCTGGGGGCACCAGGAGGCTCCTCCCCTAATGCCTTTTTCTTCTTGTTGTTCTGTCTTTAAAAGTAGATGTCAATTTATTCCAAGCTGGATACATTGCTCCTAAGGCTTGGATCTGCAGGAGGAGGACTCCTCTTCTGTGAAGTGTCTTCCCAGCCTCCGTCTCCCGTATGTGCTCTTTTTTTTAATTTTATTTTTTTTGAGACAGAGTCTTGCTCTGTCGAGCCCAGGGTGCAGTGCAGTGGCCTGGTCTCGGCTCACTGCAACCTCCACCTCCTGGGTTCAAGCGATTCTCCTGCCTCAGCTTCCCAAGTAGTTGGGGTTACAGGCATGTGCCACCATGCCTGGCTACTTTTTGTATTTTTAGTAGAGATGGGGTTTCACCATGTTGGCCAAGCTGGTATTGAACTCCTGACCTCAGGTGATCCTCCCACCTCGGCCTCCCAAAGTGCTGGGATTACAGGCGTGAGCCGCCATGCCTGGCCCATATGTCCTCTTTTGTTAGAAGAAAGTCACACCACTGACAAGCAGATTGCGAGCAGGGTGGCTGCCTCCAGACTGCACTCTCCCAAGCCTGAACTGTACCGAACTGCACCAGCCTTTCTTTTAGAGAAACAAAGCCCACAGCCCCAGCCTAACTGGAATGGGGAGCCCTCCCCAGGCCCGGCCGCCCGTGGCCCCAGCACAGACCCTACCTGCTGCTTCTGGCCGCCAGCTCCTCCCTCATCTTCTTAATGTCACTCTTGCATTTCTCAATCTCCACCACTTTCAGTCCTTCCACTGGTGACAGAGAGAGAGACAGCAAGGGGGTTACCACGGACAAATGCGGAGGATCTCTCAAGGCTGGTAACTAAGGGCTCCCTGTGGCTCCCAGGGAGGAAAATAGCTCAGTGCAGAGGTCTCACTCCTACCCCGGCTGCCAATACTCCGGGTGTGCCCGCACTGCCCCACTTAGCTCAGCCCCAACTGACTCCAACCTCGCCGGCATGTGCCGTGGCCACCGCTGCACCACCGCCTCCATCTGGGCAGTTTCCAGAGGGCAGAAGCCCCTCCCCACTTTCCACTCCTGGAATCTCAACTGTGGCACCCACTTTTTGCTCCATACCCCTAAGCACCAGCTGAGGACATGGGACAAAGGCGTCTTTTATCCCAAAAAGAACAGAGGGGACATGTGGTGCCAGAGCATTAAAATGCAGCGAACGGCAAAGCGTTTTCAGCAGGGATTAAGATCTCATTATGGGAAAAGCTTTTCATTGTAACGTCCTTCCAGCGCAGCATCACCAGGAGAAACTGTTGACTTAAAACAGAGGAGAAATGAACAGGCAAAGTTGAGGATCAACAGAACCTGGGCTTGATCACATTCCTGGAGTTGAAATCGCCTTGGCCAAATGATGACTGAGACAGTGAAAGCGAGCTAACTTAACCGACTCCATCTTGCTCCTAACCTCCAAGCTGTCTTTGTTCATTCCTCAAACTAACTTTGGGAGAAACTTCCTTTGCAGTTTATAGTTTAGACAAAGACTGTAACAGCCCTTTCCCAAAGCAGACCTCCTTCTTGCCTGGGGACGAGACTAACATTAGCCAGAGGATTAGAAATTATGGTTTAAGAGTCATGCAGCTGGAGGCTACGAGATTCTGACCCTCCCTAAATTGCTCCTAGGATCAGCGCTTGAGATATTTTGTAGACCCTGCAGTTGATGGATCAGCTGGCACCACCCAGATCGATAAACTGGCTCGTCAGGTCTCGTGGCCCCACTCAGGAACTGACTCAGTGCAAGACAGCTTCCGCCCAGCTTCCGCCCAGGCTCACACCTGTAATCCCAGCACTTTGGGAGGCTGAGGTGGGCAGATCATGAGGTCAGGAGTTTGAGACAAGCCTGGCCAATACAGAGAAACCCTGTCTCTACTAAAAATCCAAAAATTAGCTGGGCGTGGTGCACCAGTGCCTGTAATCCCAGCTACTCCAGAGGCTGAGGTAGGAGAATCACTTGAACCCGGGAGGCGGAGGTTGCAGTGAGTGAGATCGCGCCACTGCCCTCCAGCCTGGGTGACAGAGCGAGACTCCGTCTCAAGAAAAAAAAAAAAAAGAAGACAGCTTCAACTCCCTATGATTTCATCCCTGACCAATCAATCAGCATTCCTGGCTCACTGGCTTCCCCCAACCCACCAAGTTATCCTTAAAAACTCTGCCCCCGAATGCTCGGGGAGACTGAGTTGAGGAATGATAAAACTCTGGTCTCCTGCACAGCCGGCTCTGAGTGAATGACTCTTTCTCCATTGCAGTTCCCCTGTCTGGATGAATCAGCTGTTTAGGCAGCGGGCAGGGTGAACCCCGTGGGCTGTTACAGAGTCCTACTGCAAAGGTGTGCCTCAACGGTTAGGATACTATTTTTCAACCAAAAACAAACTGGAGCTTATGCCTCCCAGCGAGTGTTAAACTTCAAGATATTCACCCTTGGCTGACTGCACGTTTACCCCAGAAACGCTGCCATGAAGCAAGCAGCTTCAAACGGCTTTTCAATTAGAGTTGGTTCATAAGAAATAAAAAAGATTAGCTTTGTTACTTTGTAATCACACCTTAACTTTTATGCAGAAGGATACTCCCACGATGCCACTCTATTCCCTTTTTCATGAAGTTTGGCTCTGAATAACTGCTAAAAATAAAAAGCGAATGTTTTCTAAAGGAAAAACCAAGCAACTAGGAGCCTTTGGCTAGTTTCTAACGACTCCTTCCCACCGGAAGTAGTGCAGCTCCGGAAAGGAATTCTCCCAGTGCAGGGGCCCCGGGCAGCCTGGCTGGAATCAGCCTCCCGGGTGGGTTCGAGGCATTTCCGGGGTCAGGGGTCAAGTAGGGGTATGGCTTCCCGGGACACTGCTTCTCTCTGCCAGAGGATGAGGAATCTGGAGGGGGCAATGTTTGGATCTGGTCCTGCTGATGTGCTTCTGTGCCGCAGAAACCTTCTCCGCCCCTCTTCTACTCAACGGCTAGAGGACAGGGGTCTGGAAGTGCATGTGGCAGGAGCCAGTGTGGTCGCTGTCCTGATGGCCGAGTCCAGATGAGCGGCCGCTGGGGAAACACAAGGTACCTGAGGTCCGGACTAAGGTCTTTTGTCCAACCACTAAGAGTCCACCTTCTCCTTTGGAGCCGGGTCTCCGTTTTCTCCAGCGTCGTGGGCCCCTCCAGGAAGCTGAAGAACGCCACAGGCTGTCTTCTGAGAAAAGGCGCTGAGAACACATTTCGGGTCGGCATGTGGATTGGGAAGCCCAGCGTGGCCTCCACGGGTGCTCCTTGGTTTTGTCTAGACTGCAGGATCCCACCCGTGCCCTGTGGGTTTGCCACTTGGACACTGACGTGAGCAAATGGACAATTCAACATCAGTGACAGGAAGGCGCTCAGTGTGGTTCACACGCGGAAGGCAGCACATTCTGAAAGTGAGTAGGTCTGGGGAAGGGTTAAGCATGCGGTGTAGACTGCAAACAGGGCAGCTGCGCCCTCTGTCCAAGGTCCATGGTCCACTGACTATGTCTTAAATGTCATTTTCCTGAATATAAAAAATCCTACGATCACTGTAGGAAGTGTAGGAAATAGCACTTCAAAGAAGATTTTAAAATTTATCTAGGATCCTATGGGCCCAGAAAACAACTCAGTTAATATTATTTGTATTAATGTGTGTCCTTCCAGGCCTTCTGCCCACTCCCAGGCCTTCTAAATATTCATCCTGTTTCTCTCTCTCTCCTTTTCTACTACCTATCTACCTAGGTACTCACTATGTATCCATCCATCCATTCATTTGTCTATTATCGATCAATCTATCTATCTATCTATCTATCTATCTATCTATCTATCTATCCATTCATCTATCTATCTATCTGGAAACCCCGTCTCTACTGAAAATACAAAAATTAGCCAGGTGTGGTCACAGGCTGCCTGTAATCCCAGCTACTCTGGGGGCTGAGGCAGGAGAATCACTTGAACCCGGGAAGTGGAGCCGAGATCACACCTCTGCACTCCAGCCGGGGCAACAGAGCGAGACTCTGTCTCAAAATAAAATAAAACGACAAAAAAAAGGGGCTTTAAAAGAGATTTTTGTGAGCTTCTGCAAGTCACAGGCCACCTGCAGGGAAAGCTTTAAGGACGACTTTCTGAGAGACGCTGGCTTTGGGGAAAGCGGCCTGGAGGGTGGGGAGAGCCAAGCCGGGGGTCGGGGAGAGCCGAGCCGGGGGTGGGGGAGAGCCGAGCCGGGGGTGGGGGAGAGCCGAGCCGGGGATGGGGGAGAGCCGAGCCGGGGGTTGGGGAGAGCCGAGCCGGGACGGGGGACAGCCGAGCTGGGGGTGGGGGACAGCCGGAGAGCCAAGCCGGGGACAGGGGAGAGCCCAGCCGGGGGTCGGGGAGAGCCGAGACGGGGATGGGGGAGAGCCGAGCCGGGGGTTGGGGAGAGCCGAGCCGGGGGTGGGGGAGAGCCGAGCCGGGGGTGGGGGAGAGCCGAGCCGGGGGTTGGGGAAAGCCCAGCCGGGGGTCGGGGAGAGCCGAGCCGAGGCTCAGGAGGCTCTGTGCTGTGCTCCTTCCCCAACCTCACTGTACTCCGGCCGGGAACCTGGCAGGCCCAGTCCTTTGGCTGCAGAGCTAGTGAAAGTTGTTTAAAGACATGTATGAATAGAGCTGTGTTTCAACACTTCCTCCAAGAGCCTCACTAAAGAGCCGGTGTAGCACACACTTCCTGAGTGACGGAGGAAAGCAAGGCTTGGTTCTAGCATCTAGGCTCTGGGCTGTTTGGATGGCCTGTGTTAAACTTTGCCCCAGGCAGTCAGCTCCTGCCATGGCCCACGCTGTGTTTAGGTTTTGGTCCAAACCCAGAGTACGGGGACAAAGGGTGGATGGAGCAGAGCTGCCCTGTGCCCGGGCCGCAAACCAGGAAGGAAGGGAGTAAAGGGCCCTGCTTTAAAATCTCTCTTTAATGTTTCACCTCCAGCCAGGACGTGAGGGGAGGGGCCTGGGTGTTCTGTTTACGAAATAATCTGTAACGTAAGGGAAATCCCAGATCGCTCGCACGAGGCTAAACTTTTTATATCAAAAGGAAGAAGAGCTTTGAAAGTCAGTGAAGAGAAATGAAGAAATTTATATTCAATTCAGAGGAATTATACATTTGAGAAGAAGCAGGAAATTCCATTTAAGTCAAGTCCACCACAATGTAACACGGCTTTAAGGTGCCCAATTCTAGCGGATGAGTCTTTTAACTGAAGAAGCAGAAAACAGCTTGGAGGGCACAGTGGCTCACGCTTGTAAAATCCCAGCACTTTGGGGGCTGAGGCGTGTCGATCACCTGAGGTCAGGAGTTCGAGACCAGCCTGGCCAACATGGCGAAAGCCCATCTCTACTAAAAATACAAAAATTAGCCGGACATGGTGGCGGGCACCTATAATCCCAGCTACTTGGGAGGCTGAGACAGAAGTGTCCTGTCTTTTGGGGGCGGAGGCTGCAGTGAGCCAAGATTGCGTCACTTTAGCCTGGGCCAAAGAGCGAAACTCTGTCTCAAACAACCACCACCACCACCACAACAAAACGAAACAGCTCACAGCAGCTCATGTACAGCAGAAGCAGCTGTGTGTGTGCATGTGTGTGTATGTGATCACACATATGAATGTATCTGCACGTGCCTGGGTGCTTACACGTGTACATGTGTGCATGTATATGTGACATCCTGACGTGCCTGTGTGATTTCACGTGTGTATCTGTGAGTGCATGGACACCTCTGTGTGTGTTTACACGTGCATGTGCATATGTAGATGGCAGCATCTGCCTCTGGCCCAGGCCCTGTGCACTGGGTGTCGGACCACGCTCCTGGCCGCCCTCCCCATCTGGCTAGCTTCTGGCAGCCGTGCAGGGCTGGGACTGACCTTCTGAGAAGCTGGGCACACACTTCCCCAGTGGCCTGCCACATCAGACGTTCAGCTCCCGGCCCTCTCCTCAAAAGGATTTTCCCTCTCTGTCCTCCAAGCCTCCTGAAATGTCTGGGCTTTCGCATCTTTGGGTTAAGGCTCTGCTGCCCTTGTGGTGTCTCTGGAACTCAGACTCCCTGGGGCTCAGCACAGCTGCAGCATCCCGGCCACCTCCCGCTAAAGCACACCCGCTGGAGAGTGGGGAGCCATCAGCCAGAAGTGTCCGGGGAGGATGAGCCCGAAGCCAGGTGGAGTTCAGGAGGACGACAGCCTGTCTGGACACGGCTGCCTCCTGGAGTGGGGGTGTGAGCTGCATGCGACGGGAGGAGGGCAGCCAGGAGGACTGAGGAGAGGTCCCCTCCCTTACCCTCCACAACTCCTAGACTGCTCCTCCTTCCCTACTCCTTAGAGAGGGGAGCTCCCTCAATCCCATTTCTGCAGTCCTAGGTCTCTGGTGCTAGAAATCAGTACAACTGGTAACAACCGGTTTTACCCGCAGAAGCACCAGTAATTCTGGTCTGTGCCGTGAGCCTGAGCTCGGTGGAAGAGTGGTGTCCTCTGCCAGGCCATCTATGTGCATTCACTGAAGGCCTTATGGGAAGATACCTTCCCTCTGAGAAGTGAGCATTTTGGAGAATTCCGCAGCTAGAACAGGCTAGAGGGGAAGGTCCTATGGGCCATGTCCTTCAGTGATCTTCAACTCACCTGCCACTTGGAGGTAAAACAGGAACACTTTTCTTTTGGCTTGATGGTTATTTTCCAGGGTCAGTATCCAAAGACACACAGGGTTACTATTCATCTTGTGGGAGACATAATTCTCTGTAAGAGTTTTGAGAGTTACAGCATGGCCTCTTCAACTTGCCTGTTTGCACTTTCTGGGAAGAGCATGGAAGGAGCTGGCACTGGCTTCCGGGTGGGGCGTAGGAGATGGGGGAGGCTGAGGAAAAGCCCAGGCGCTGGAGAGAGGAGGAGAGGTGGGAGGCACCTGCTGTCCGCGGGCATCTGCACGCTCCCCCTGTAGTGACTGCGTGACTTTTTGCATCTGTAAAGGTGGGTGGTGACTCTGCAGCAAGCCTTTTTTGCATGTTTGGCTCAAACCCCTACCCATGTTTGGAGAATTCCCTGTGACACGGGGCTTGGTGGAGAGCTGAGCCAGCCTCCCAGTGCAGAATATGGAAATGCAAACACTCGCTGTGCTGGGTTGAATTGTGTCCGCCAGAAAGATCTGTTCACAACCTACTCCCTGGAACTTGTGAATGGGACCTTATTGAGAAAAAGGTCGTTGGCAGATATAATCCATTAGGGACCTGGAGATGAGCCCATCCTGGATTTAGGTTGGGCCCTAAATTCAAAGAGAGGCATCTTTATAAGACCTAGCAGAGAGAGACTGGTGACGTGGAGACATCCTGGGAGAACGTCACCACGTGAAGACACAGGCGGAGGTTAGAGTGATGCAGCATTCCAAGCTCAGTAACGGCAAGGATTGCTGGGAGCCACAAGAGTCTAAGAGAGAGGCACAGAACCAGGGCCCCTCAGAGCCTCCAGAAGGAGCCAGCCCTGCTCATGCCTTGATTTCTGACTTCTGGCCTGCAGAGCTGCGGGAGAGTCAGTTTTTGTTGCTTAAGCCTCCCAGTCTGTGGTGCTTTGTGCGGCAGCCTCAGGGCACTCACAGCCTCCCTTTGTGGGGCCTGCCTTGCAGCTAGACTGTGGGTGCATGGTCTGGCTGTGTCTAGATTTTGAACCTGTAGCCAGCGACATGGAGAAGTGCCTGATATCTGCATAAGTGGTTGTGGAGCCTCCGGGGGGCCTAGGTCCAGAGCGAGGAGTACAGGGGAGCTGGTGCTGCATCCAGGGCTCAGAGACGGCAGCAGAGGCATCCGCATAGCATCAGCTCTGCACGGGATGTGGGGAATTGCTGCTGCTGCACAACCTCCAAGCCCTGTTCCCAAGCCCTCCTGGGGATCCAGGGAGCTTCCCAAAATCCTTCAGGGAAAAACTGCTTTTCTGTTGAAAGCAGCCACGATCAGTTTCTGTTGCTTGCAGCTTCAGCTTTCTAACCTGAGTTACCAAGGAATCCTCATGGAGTGCCTGGTGCTCTTCAGCCAGGTGTGCAGGGAGGTGACCTGTCCCAGAAGGGCAGGTAGCAGGCAGTGAGAGTAGCCTGGCCAGGACCCTGGGTGCCAGTCTCAGCTTTATTTATTTTTCTAATTTGCTGAGTGAACTTGAGGTTACCTAACCTCTCTGTGGCTTCCTCATTGACAACGGGGAAAATGAAACCGTCTTGAAGATCCAGTGACCACATACATTTTTAGAAATGTCCACCCACTTTGAAAAGTATAAATCTGACTATGTAAATCATGTTTCAGGAGAATCACTTGAACCCAGGAAGCGGAGGTTGCATATTGAGCCAAGATTGCGCCACTGCACTCCAACCTGGGCAACAGAGCAAGACTCTGTCTCAAAAAAAAAAGAAAGAAAAGCGACGATGACATTCAGTCAATCAGCCAGATATTTTTTTTTTGGTGATGCTGTAACCCTTAATGGCCTCCTGTCTGGATTCTGTTTATTTAGTTCCTAAGTTGGTAAATGTGGTGCATGTTAATCATTAACCTTTGCCTTGTCATTGACAAAGAGTTCACTTGTCAAGCTGTGAGTTGAACACAGAATTGTGAGGCCTGTGGAATTTAAGCGTTGACCTTGATATTACGGATGAGGACAAAAAGGATGGGTGACTTGAAGTTGTTTTCTTCCCAGAATTTGAGCTTTTTGATCATTGAATCAGGACTTGAATTGATACTCCTCGGCTCACTAGTCATTTTTCTGCTTTCCTTTGGTGGTGACTGGAGGCTGTAGTAGGCTGTTCTTCTGTTGCTATAAAGAGATACGCGAGGCTGGGCAATTTATAAGGAAAAGAGCTTTGATTGGCTCCCAGTTCTGTTGGCTTTACAGGAAGTCTGGTGCTGGCATCTGCTTGGCTCTTGGGGAGGCCTCGAGAAGCCTCCAATCATGGTGGAAGGCGACAGGGAAGCGGGAGGGTAGAGAGCTGCCACGTGCTTTTAAACAACCAGATCTTGCGAGAGCTCACAATCTCAAGGAGAGCATCAAGCCGTTCAGGAGGCATCTGCCCTGCTGACCCAAACATCTCCCACCAACCCCACCTCCAACATTGCCAATGACATTTCAGCGTGAGACGTGGAGGGGACGCACATCCAGACTGTATCAGAAACCAAGAGGTAACAACTTAATAGACAGATTCCAAAAAATGGTGACCCACAGGGTGCAGATCAGTGTGCAGAGAATGTCTTCATTTACACACAAAAAGACACAGACAAGACACTCGGCAGAGGTTCTCAGAGGGGCTAAGTGTGGGGGGCTTCGTGTGTTCATTTTTACTCTTTGGGGCTGAAAGAATGCTTTATACCATGAGATGTGCTTCTTTTAAAATAGAAATAAAATGCTTAGTTAATCACTGTGCGAGCCTTTGTTAACATCAAAGGTAATTTTCAAGTATTTCAGAAAGAAAAGACATTCGTATTTACCTTCAGCACTGAACTCCTCCCTGTTCCAAGTGGTTAATTTGAATAGAGGTTAAAGGACAGAGAAGCAAAAAGGAAACAGAAACGTCACTCACATTCCACGCGTTTCTCTAGCACAGCCAAGTGATTCGCAACTTCAGCTTTCAGTTCATTGATTTTGAATGCTCTAGGAACGAAAAAGAAAAGAGAGAGGAAATATGACCCTTAAAATTCTCAGAGCCAAAACAGGTTAAGCAAACATGTACTGAGTTCCCGCTGTGGTCATGGGCAAGGCCTCTGGGTAGGCTGGCGAGGGGCTGGGTGCCAACATGCCAGGACTTGCTTTTCAGAAATCATCATGTCCCATGGGGAGGAAAGAATCACCAAATTATCATGAGGTGTATTTTCCGAGCCAGTGGGCATATTTACTTCCTCAGGCCTGAGCAGTGGACCCAGACTCTCTGGGGAGAACTCGCAGCCTTCTCTCTGCTTATGTGGTTGAGAGGGTCCAGTCCCCGCACCCTCCCCCGATGGGCACAGACACTTCGGAGGACCTGTTGTGCTCTCTGGAGGCTCCAACCTAGTCAGTTAAAGAATTAGAAGGATTTTTTTTTCTTTTTTCTGAGACAGTTTCACTCTGTTGCCCAGGCTGGAGTGCAGTGGTGTGATTTCGGCTCACCGCAACCTCCACCTCCCGGGTTCAAGTGATTCTCCTGCCTCAGCCTCCCGGGTAGCTGGCATTACAGGCATATGCCATCACACCCGGCTAATTTTGTATTTTTCATAGAGACGGCGGCTTCTCCATGTTGGTCAGGCTGGTCTCAAACTCCAGACCTCAGGTGATCCGCCCGCCTCCGCCTCCCAAAGTGCTGGGATTACAGACGTGAGCCACTGCGCCCAGCCAATTCGAAGGTTTTTAAAAAATCCTAGCCGTCTGCCCTTTTCACCATTTTGATTAACCTGGGCAGTAAGATACCGCAGAGAAAACCGCAGAGCAGTCAGTCTGAGAAATGGAAAATACGGTATCCAGGTCAGGATTGCTGGGATGACTCCGATGAAAAGGAAGTCCCCTAACCAAGCGAGGAAGCTTATTTCCCAGTGGAGCCCATTCTTATAGATTGTTCTCTGATCCCAGAAGAGCCGACGGAGAACACTCTCGACCACACGAGCTCACATTCTAATGCGTCCACTCAACACGGTCTTTGGTCTAAGGCGAGTGTTTCCTGGGCCCCATCCAAGCTGGCTTAGTTACAGAAGCCACAGAAGGCTTCCGCCGTGCGGGCAGCTCCTCCAGGCAGCTGAGACAGCCGCGCTTGCTGGCCAAGGCCAGCCTCAGAGCCCGGGGCCTGCCCTCGCTCTTAGAGAAAGATGCGCGCATCTCTGGCTGGTTGTAAGTTTAGAAGACTCTGTACCTTGAGAACTGCTCTGCGACCTGCGCCAGCACGCTCTGGATTAATTCTTCTCTCTCTACGAACCAAAGAAGAAAGACAGGTGGAACACGGACAAGAGGAAAAGACGCATAGGCCATTGCGGCCCGAATCCCACGTGCTGGGGGTCGGAGGCCGCGACCGAGGAGCTGCCCGTTACCTGGAGGGACGTGCTGGCCTTCCTGGCAGCAGTCCTGGGGCTCTCTGGGCCTGGGCTCTACCTGTCCACTTTCAAATGCTCCTTCCCTCTGGGGCTGCTCCAGGCCCACAACCCGTCTGTCCCTCAGTGGTCTCTCAGCAGACTGGCCAGGGCTTGTGGTTCTCTTGTCCTCAGCACCAGCTATAAAAAGCAGGCAGGCCTGGGTTTCTCAATATGGGAAGTTTTCTCTGAGTGCCCAGGTCTATTTTATGGGGGCAATTACTGGGACAAAGTGAGTTCAAGGCACGTCTCAATTCAGAACACGGTGTTCTCACGGCGGGTCTGCAGAGGGGAGGCAGGCCCGGGTCCAGCGAGTTGCTCCCTTTGTCGCCTGGCCTGTAAAACTGGGCTGGGTGGCTGGCTTTACAAGGTCCAGGTCTCAGGCTAAATGGAACCTGCCTGTCTTCCTGTTTCCTGACCAGGCCCAATGCCAGATACCTCATAGGAAGGTGTGGATGCTCACAGCGCTGTCCTTGTCATCAAGGCGACATTCTAAGGAAGGGAGCGGTCTCTACCTGGCTCCAGCCGTCCTCCAGCTCGTGCCCCAGAACACCGAGAACCCACACCAGGCTTAGTCATAAGTTCACAACATCTTCTACGTTGATTTGATGTCTAACCTTCCACTATAAACAAAACAAATAAAACCAAAGCTGCGCCGGGCGCGGTGGCTCAGGCCTGTTATCCCAGCACTTCGGGAGGCCAAGGCAGGCAGATCACCTGAGGTCAGGACTTCGAGACCAGCCTGACCAACATGGAGAAACCCCGTCTCTACTAAAAAAATACAAAATTAGCCAGGCATGGTGGCACATGCCTGTAATCCCAGGTACTCGGGAGGCTGAGGCAGGAGAATCACTTGAACCTGGGAGGCAGAGGTTGCGGTGAGCCGAGATTGTGCCATTGCACTCCAGCCTGGTGAACGAGAGTGAAACTCCGTCTCAAAAGAAGATGAAAAAAACAAAACCAAAGCTGCCCAAACAAACAAAAAATTCAAGAATCCAACTTGGCAATGGGGCTCAGAAGCTAAAAATGTTCACAAGCACTGACCCAGGGTTCCATTTCTAGGAAATCATCATGCATGTACACAAAAGATGTTCATCACACTGTTATTTAACACAGAGAAAACTGTAACAACCTGCACGCCCACCCGATGGAGATTCGTTAAATAAATGATGAGAAAACTCTATCTTTAGACATACATCTGGAACGATATTTTGCTATTAGAAATAATATTTTGAAAAATGTTCATGTCTGTTGTTAAAGTACAAAAAAAAATGGTTTTGAAGCACTAATAGGGATCCTGCTTTTGAAAACATATTGGGAGGGTATACTCCAAAATAATAATAGTAGTCATCTTTGGTTATAAGTTTTATATACATTTTATTTAAAAAGTTTGCTTCCCTCTATCTTATGCATTTTCCCTTTTTTTCTTATGCATTTTCTATAATTTCTATAATTCACTTAAAAAATTAAAAGAAACTAATCAGTTTAACTTTGCAACACCTCATTACTTCACCTGTCAAATGAGAGGGCAGACCAGATGATCCTAGATTCCCTCTGGCTTTAGCATTCTATGACTTGATAAGAAGAAGAAAAATGATGTTTTATTATATCTCTTGAAGCTACAAGCGTAAAAATGTCAGCCAGAAAATTTTCGTACAGCCATAGGTTGAACTGGTGCCAGCTCGAGGCCCTCACCTGAAGAAAGTCCCACATCTGCTAGTGGGGGAAGGTGGCTCCTATCAACAAGAATCATCATAGGTTTTACAGGCCACTTGGTGAACTCAGCAGGGGTTTAGATCACTTAGGAATTCTTTGGAAAAGGTGGTGTATCACATAACCTTTGAGAATGAATGATCTCAGAGTCTTGAGATAAATTTAGAAGTCCATCAAATGATGAATATTTATAAACCACTTCACCCAACAGCAGCAGAGCGCTACATTCATTTCAGGCGCCTACAGAGCATGTACCAAGATAGACCATATCCTGGGCTATAAAGGAAATCTCACCCAATCTAAAGGAACTGAAGCCACACGGAGTATGTTCTCTGACCACATGAGGATCAAAGTAGAAATCAATAACAGAAAGATAGTAGAAAAATCTCCAAACACGTGGAAACTTAACAACATACTTCTAAATAACTTAAGGGTCAAAGAGGAAGTCTCCAGGGAAAATTAAAAAGACATCGAACTCAATAAAAATGAAAATACAACACAAAATTTAGCTGTGGGACACAACTAAAGCCATGCTGAGAGGGAAATTTATAGCATTATGGGCTTCCATTAGAAGAGAGGAAAAATCTCAACTCAATCAGCCAAGATCCCACCATGAGGACCCAGGAAAAGAAGAGCAAAGTAAACCCACAATGATAGCAAAGAAAGGAAGGAGGGAAATCACAAAGATAGGGGAATAGAAATCCCGGTAACAGAAAACAGAAAAACAATGCAGCAAATCAACAAAACAGAGCTAGGTATTTGAAAATGATAAATTGTCAAACTTCTAGCAAGACTGACAAAGAAACAATGAGAGAGAAGACACACATTGTCAATATCAGGAATGAAAGAGGGAACATCACTACAGACCCTGCAGACATCAAAAGGATAATAAGGGAACACTGCAAATGCCTCTACACACATTACTCTGACATCCTTCAATAAAATGGACCAACTCCTAGAGAAGCATGAAGTACTACAACTCATTCAATATCAAAGAGGTAATTTAAACAACTTATAGCAAAAGTCAATTTGTAATTTAAAAACTCCCCAAGACGAAATGTCCAGGCCAAGACGGTTCTAAACATTTATAGAGAATTCTGCCAAATGTTTAAAAAGTCAACATGATTCTAACAATATCTTCAAGAAAACAGAAGAGGAGGGAACACTACCATTCTTTTTTTTTTTTTTTTTTTTGAGATGGAGTCTCACTCTGTCGCCTAAGCTGGAGTGCAGTGGTGTGATCCCGGCTCACTGCAGCCTCCGCCTCCTGAGCTCAAACAATTCTCCTGCCTCAGCCTCCTGAGTAGCTGGGATTATAGGTGCAGGCCACCAAGCCTGGCTAATTTTTTGCATTTTTAGTAGAGCCAGGGTTTTACCATGTTAGCCAGGCTGGTCTTGAACTCCTGGCCTCAAGTGACTTGCCTGTCTTGGCCTCCCAAAGTGCTGGGATTACAGGCGTGAGCCATTGCACCTGGGCCCCATTCATTTTATGAAGTTAGTATTACCCTGATACCAAATGCAGACAAGGAACAACAACAAAAAATTACATGCCAACATCCCTCATGAATCTAGATACAAAAATCACTAATGAAATAGCAAGTAGAATTCAGTAATATGTAAAAATAATTGCACATCAAGATTGAGTGGGGTTTATTCCAGGGATATAAGGTTGGTTCAATAGTTGGAAAGCAATCAATGTAATGTCCAATCAACAGGCTAAAGAATAAAAATCATATGATCATGTCAACTAATTCATAAAAAAAATCTGACAAAATTCAACCCATGTTCATGAGAAAACTCATACAATTAGGAATGGAGAAGAACTTCTTCAAATTGATTAAAAGCATCAACCATAACCTTACAGCCAACATTATACAGTTGTTCCTTGGTGTCCCTGAGGGATTGGTTCCAGGACGCCCCACAAGGATGCCAAAATCCAAGGATGCTCAAATTCCTTATATAAAATGGTGTAGTATTTGCATATAACCTATGCACATCCTCCTGTACATGCTACATCATCTCTAGATTACTTAGAATACCTAATACAATGTAAATGTTATGTAAAGAGTTGCTGTACTGTATTGTTTACCTATTTGTATTGTTTTTCTTGTTTTTAAAATATTTCTGATTGGTGATTGGTTAGATATATGGATATGGAACACACAGATACAGAGGAGCCGATCGTACTTAATGGTGAAAGACTGACTGCTTGGTGTCTAAGACTGTCACAAGGCAAGGTCGTCTGCTCTCACTACTGCTAATTAACATAGTGCGGGGAGTCCTAGCCAGTGCAATAGGCAAGAGAAGGAAATAAAAGGCAAACAGATTAGAAAGGAAGAAAGAAAACTGTCCCTGTTTGCCAATGACATGTTGTCTACAGAGAAAACCCCAAGGAATCTACAAACAACAACAACAAAACACAACCCTCCTAGAACTAAAAAGAGAGTTTAGCAAGTTTGCAGGGTGGAAAACATACAACATTCAATTGTATTTACTACAATTGTATATTCTAGCAATGACCATGTAGGCACTGAAATTACAAATAAAATACCAGCCACGCATAGTGGTGCATGCCTGTAATCCCAGCACTTTGGGAGGTCGAGGTGGGAGGATTGCTTGAGCCCAGGAGTCTGAGACCAGCCTGGGGAACAAAGAGAGATCTCCAACTCTACAAAAACACAAAAACAAAAAACAAAACAAACAAACAACAACAACAACAACAACAAAATAGCCAGGCATGGTGGCATGTGCCTGTGGTTCCAGCTACTCAGGAGGCTGAGGTGGGAGGATTGCTTGAGCTCGGGAGGTTGAGGCTGCAGTGAGCTATGATAACACCACTGCACTCTAGCCTCAAGGACAAAGACCCTGTCTCAAAAACAAACAAACAAACAAACACCAGTACCATTTACAGTCACTCAAAAATGCCCCAGGTATAAAACTGACAATATGCAGAAGTTGTATGTTGAAAACTACAAAACATTCATGAAAGAAATAAAAGAAGATATAAACAAATGGCAAGACTGACCATGTTAATGGGTTGGAAGACTCAATACAGTAAATTCTCCCCACATTGGTAAACAGGTTTTACAAAATTCCCATTGAAAGGCTAGCAAGACCTTTTTTTTTTTTGGTAGAAATAGAGATTATTCTAACATTTAGATAGAAAGGCAAAGGACTCACAAGAATAAAAACAATTTTGAAAAACAACAGATAAAACGAGAGGAATCAGCCTATCTTATTTTGAGACTTAGGATATAATTTCGGTAATCAAGACTGTGAGGTATTGGCAGAAAGACAGACAGGTAGAGCGATGGGAAGAAACAGAGGGCCTATGACCATGTCCATACAAATACGCCCAACTGATTTTTGACCCAGATGTAAAGCAATTCAACAGAGAAAAGAGAGCTTTCAATAAATAGTGTTGGAAA